TTCTTAGTCCTGTTCTTCATTAAGGCAACAGAACTTTCATTCAGTATCATTTCAACATTAATAAAAGTACAAACCAGAAATAACCCAAATATCAAATGATTGCTTGAATATAGAACATCCATATAAATAAATGTGGTACTATAAATCCCAGTCCAATTCTACATTTACTGACATAAAAGATGTTCTTGATTTATTCCTAAGTGAAAATGTTAGTTACAGAATAATATGCATTTGTATATTCATATTTACTATTGTGTAAAACTAGTATGGAGAAATATATACCAAAACATAATCATGCCAGATTGAGGATCAGCAAAATATTGGCCATGGGCTAAATCTTGCCTGCCACTTATTTTTGTACAAGAGTTCTGTTGGCTCACAGCCATGTCAGTGGCTACTTTCCTGCTACAAAGCAGAATTGAGCAGTTAGAACAGAGATGGTACAGGCTGCAAATCCTAATCTATGCATCATCTGGTGCTGCGCAGGGAAAGCTTACCAACTGTGATTCTAAATGTTGGAATTAGGCATGGTTTTAATGTTTTAAAAATATATATATATATATATATATATATTTGGCCAGGGCCAGGTTTGAACCTGCCACCTCCAGTATATGGGGCCAGTGCCCTACTCCTTGAGCCACAGATGCCACCCCCAATGTTTAAAAATATTTATCTGACTTCATTTTTAAAATTTCCTACAGCAAGTCTAATATTATATAAAATATGTATCTATTATGAAGCCACTGAAACCAGTTTTAAAAATCTCATTCCATTGAAATTAAACTCAAAAGTAAATCTTAGAAATAGAATTACAAAAATTTGATTATAGCTTCCAAAGTCCTAATTCAAAATATAAGACTTACATTGTAGGTAGAATGTTATGTTGCTTGTTTTTGAAATTAGGACTTCTATGTGAACATGATTCTCCTATATACTAATAATATTAATTTCTTAAAACTGCTTTTTAGAACTTCTGACGTGTCATTCGTATCTTCTGCGTTAGCATATGAGTCCTCTGAGGCTGTGTTTAAGTAATGTAATTTTAAACTTGATGAATAAGGTAGATTAATTTGAGTAACGTTTTTGGAATTTAAAAAAAGGGTGGCAAATTTTGAGGAATGATTTGCTGTACATGATTTATTAACTGGACATGGAAGCCGTCCCCAAAAGGAAGGGTTTTCAAATGTTTGGAGTTTTGGAAAATAAGTGAATCAATGTGAAATCTCCGAAGGAGTCTATTTTGAAGAAATAAATTCACTTGGAAGCATAAATTATGGATATTTGTTACAAAGGGCAATTCTGATGTAGCTAAGCAAATTTCACTCCAAAATCCTGTAGGATACAACCTTAAAAAGGGTGTTTGAGTAATCAGGCAATAATTAAGATAGTCAGAAGACCTGCTAATTAACATTAGGTGAGGGAATACTTGAAAATGGAATTCGTATTAACCACAAGTTCCAGATGATGTGCATCTTTATTAAAAGAAACAGAAGTAAACAGTACAGTAATTAAACTTTCAAATATACAAAATAAGGAGTTTTTAAAAATGCCAATGAGGAAAGATAAATAATATGAGTTGATTAAAATATCAAGTCATTACAATGAAAATTATACTGAAAGGCTTTGAAGTTTTAAAGATGCTGGTGTGTGTCCAGAAAGAATTTAAACATAGAAATACATCCGTGACTTTTCTGATTTTAGGATATGTTTTATTAACTAGGTGGTATCAACCACAACACAAAATTCCCTGAATATGTATTGTAAAACCACGTATACATCTCTAAAGTCAAAAATTTTCCTTACTATTCTCCGAGATTAAGGATCCAGGCTATGAGGGGGGGGAAAACCCACAAAATCTAAATTTTAGATCATGTAAATGTTAAGCACATCATGCCTGTCAATGTATTTTAAAAGGAAAGTGTCTACCCTCAATGTGTAGAGACGTCTCTGCCTTCTGGCTCAATTGACCTTTATTGTAACATCTCCGATTGTATTCGTGGCCAGCTATATCCTCACCGCTATTCACCAGGAAAATCCCAAGGTTTATAACAACTATTTCATTACGTTTCTATGTCTAACCCTTTACTTGCCCATCCTTTTCACCTCTATTCTCTGCTTATCTAAATCTAACTTTCAAACTGCTACTTCTTTAATAAAAAATGTCTCTTTCTTCCCAGTGGAAGTACATTTTCTGCTCTATGCCCTCATGCTTCTTACCCATTTCTATCATAAGTTAGAAGCCTCTGAATGACTATCTCATTTCCTCTGCCTGAGCTGTAACTTTCTTAGAGTCTATACCTTCTTTATTTACTATTCTCTTCAGTGTCTGGCACATGTTAAAAATTAAAATATTGTGCGGCACCTGTGGCTCAAAGGAGTGAGATGCTGGTCCCATATGCTAGAAGTGGCAGGTTCAAACCCGGCCCTGGCCAAAAACTGCCAAAAAAATTAAAATATTGATATTATATACTTGTTAAGGCATAAATCACCCCTTTTAAAGGGGAGATATTAAAAAAAGAAAACCTGGTTTTCTTAAAGAAATAGGAATATAGAGAACAACATATAATTGTATACATCTTCTTAATGTAACCTGAATCAGATGCTTGTTGAACAAGATAGATATTTTCTTTTAAGGCAAATTTACTTTGAACTGCACCATTAGTTCAAGATCAGCCTGAGCAACGTAGTGAGGCCTCACCTCTACAAAAAGACTTTAACAATTAGTTGGGCATGGTGTCTTCTGCCTGTAATCCTCGCTATTGGGAGGCTGAAGCAGGAGAACCAATTGGCCCCAGGAATCTGAGGCTCAGTGAGCTATGATCACACCACTGCACTACAGCCTGGGTGACAGAGTGAGACCCTGTCCCTAAAAACAAAACACACTAAGCAAAAAAACTAAACTGCTATTGTAAAAAAAAAAAAAAAAAAGCAACAGCTATTTCACATCAAGAGTGACTCTTGTGTGCTTTTCTATTAGTAATGACATTTCAGTCCTCCTTTTATGCTGAAAGATGAGTGTACCGCGAGTTATCAGTTAGAGAAAACATGCTCATGTCTCCCCCCTGCTGATCCAAGGGACATTATTTAGTTTTATTGATGTTCAGTTTCCTCATCTTTAAGATGAGAATAATCATTTTCATCCTTCCTTATTTCACAAGTGTTGCCTGAGACATAATAAGATAATGTAAACGATAGCACTTTGTAAACTACAAAGTTCTATATAAATGACAGGTACATGAAGGACATGAATATGAGGGGCATTAAAATAGTAATATGAGAATCAGCAAATAAATGATTGATTCAAGTCAAATTCTTTGCAGTCAAATTTATATGAATTATCTTAATAATTCATATAAAGAAGCAAGGAAAGATTTTGGTGTGTAATAACTTAAGTTTTCACAATAAGAAACAGAGTAATTCCAAAGGGCCAAATATTAAGATTTCTGAACTGTTTGGTACTTTATGAGTTCTACACGTATGAGATCACAGATTCAATCTGAGTGACCCTTACAGATAAGACAGTTCAAGGCCTAGAATATTCTCCAATCAAATTTACTATTAACAATTAAGAAGAATGATTTTATTTTCTTCTCTCTTACTATAGAGATGAGTATAATAAAAGTCTAAGACCTTTGCCATCATATTTCACGTCATTGGGAAGTCTTAAATCACATGCTGAGTGGAAATATAAAATGTAGAACCTCAGGATAAGAAAGGATCTCAGCATTTATCATTCTAAACAACACACAGATCTGGAATCCCTCTCCAACACCCTTGCTGTGTTTAATCTTGACCTAGGTGGATCCAACATAGGAAAAGCAATGGAAGATGACTGTTGATCCCTCAATCAATTAGGCTTTTCTTTATGGTTTAGTAAAAATATGATCTTCCATAATTTTTGATGAGTCCTGGAAGCTTTATTTTGGCCCTATACAGAACCTGCACCATATACACAGGAACACCTCATTGCTGTTGCCTAGTCACCCTTCTCTCTTGGTCATCCAGGCCAATGGTATACAATTCCAAATTAGCTAAGGCAATTAGCAAATATATTCTCAGTTTTAATTCCCTTTCTCTCTTACTAAGAGTTAATCAGCATACCTATAGACATTTTCTAAGCACCATCTGTACTAGGATTAAATGTGTGATAGATTTTGCTACTGCCTACAAAGCTCTGCATTCTTTCCCCCAGGAATCACTGAACAGCCTGTATCCAACAGCAAATGAACGTTGATGAGTTAGATTCTGTTAAAGTCCCTCTGACCCCTTATAGCCTGCACATGGGCCTTGAGGATTATAAGCATTTAGAGCTGCATGATCAAACTACCAAGATGTCTTAAAATGATTTGGCTAATTTTCATATTGTGCTTAAAGTTAATGTCATAATTTGAAACTTTTGATTTAGACTGGCAGTAATTAATAAGCATAATGAATGGAATCCTTGTCTCTTATATTTTCCATAAATTGCATTGCCATTCAAAGAGCAGCAAAAATGTACCTAATCATAACCATAATTAACCATGTTTCTTCCCTTCCCTCTAACCCACAACCCATAGTTAAAATTTTAACTTGGTGTAAAAATTGAATTTTAACTTTTTATCGCTGTCATAATTAAAACATGAGTAGTCAAATGAATCTAGCATGACCTGCTGACTTCTTTCATGCTACCTGCATATACTGTAATTGCCTTGGAGGGTGGCAACTTTCATTATATAATAAAGACTTCCTTATAGCGTAATTTACAACTCACAGGTATCAGACAGACAGTTACCTGCTCCAAGTAGGAGAACGATTTTTTATAAACAATCATGGTCTTGGGTTGACATAGCATGGAAACTGGGGGCATGGAATTCTGTTTAAATCAAGGTCTATGAACCAAAGTCTATGCTGCAGGAAAACTCCATGTAGGAATCAAATTTCCATTTTTAATTCCTTTATGGTGATTTAGCTATGTTTATAGGATAAATGAGGCTTCAATAACATCTCTGTGTCTCTCTTAGAAGACAAAGGGAAGTTAAAAGCCAACAGCTCCAGTCAGCCACCAAGCTCTGAAGGTGTCTCGTTTCTCCTCAAGTCTGGCACAACACCCCTGCCACCTGGAGCAGCCACTTCTCCCTCCAAGAGCACAAATGGAGCTCCCAGTACTGCTGCTGAATCAGAAGAAGAAAAAGCCAAAAAATTACTTTATTGTTCACTATGCAAAGTGGCTGTGAACTCCCTGTCACAGCTAGAGGCACACAACACAGGTTAGCTGCTATCTTTTGAATTTAAATAACGTTGGTAACAAAACCCAACCTTTCCCATCAGAATGCCATGTCTCTTGTTGTTCAAACATTAGTTTTGTTCATATCTTCTCTACTCTTCGATTCAAAGGAGTGATTTTAGAAAATACGATCACATGACTTTGGAAATGGCAAGGCAAAAACAGGTTGGAGATAACACTTGTCCATTTCTTTATTTCTTTAAAGCATGTCATGCTTTCCAAAACTCATGTTCATGAAGTGACAGAGATGCAGATAAATACTTATGCACAATGTTCACTGCAATAGACTTATAAGATAAAAAATGGAAACAGCCTAAATATCTGCCAGTAGGAAAATACTGAATAAATTAGAGTAACCCAATATGATAGAATATATTACTCAGCCATTAAAACATAATGATAAGAAATGTGTGCATGGTCTGCTATATGAAATTTTCCAGATATTTAATTAGTATGATCCAATTTTGAAAATACATATATACACATATATTTCCTAGACAAAGAAAAAGAAATGCGCTAAAATGGTAACAATGGTTACATTACCTCCCAGTGGTGAAAATACAGGTAATCGTTATTTTTTTATGCTTCTCTACATTTTCCATATTTTCTTTACTATATGCTCCTATGCTATTTCTATTTTTTACAATGAAAATATGTAAAATTTAAAATCAGCATTAAAATGGTCATGACAAAAGTATTAGAAACTTCAGCCTGAAGACAAACTTCCCAAGGATAAGAAAACAAAGATTTCATGTAGTTCGTCAACAGCTATTTAATCTATGTCTCTTTCTGTCTTAGGATCTAAACACAAGACCATGGTTGAGGCTCGTAATGGGGCTGGTCCAATTAAATCCTACCCTAGACCTGGGTCAAGGTTAAAGATGCAGAATGGCAGTAAGGGGTCAGGACTACAGAACAAGACATTTCATTGTGAAATTTGTGATGTTCATGTTAATTCAGAAATTCAACTCAAACAGGTAATGTATCCTAAATTAACATACACTATTATCTGGGGTCACCACTTGACTGTGTATTTCCTCCTTTATAAAGTGGTTCTCACTGTGCACACAATTAAATTCACTAACTGGTATAGGTTGCATACAATACACAATATTTCAAGTGCCATGAGAAAGAAAAAGTCAGCATCAAATATTCAAGCATCTACTTTTACTACAAGTCATATTGTAGGCCAGGGGTTAGAGACAGAGAGATGAGCACAAAGGTCACTGGAGCTTGCAGTTGGGCAGGAGCTTCTGGTAAGGTAAAGTGAGATGTGAAGTCTGTCTTCCAAGGACTCAAAATCTGGTGAGAGTAACAGGCAAAATCTAATAAGGTCGATAAAGGACAGACAAGGGACACAAGGCCATTACAACTGAGAGGGGCACAAGTCCTAATTGAGAGATTATAATTTTACCCAAACCTTCTTGTAACAATGGGCCTAGCATTGGAGAAATCATCTACCTAGACCTATGTTTTACATGGACTAAAACTCACATTTTGATTCCGCTAATTCATCAAACTTTTTCCAGCATATTTCTAGCCGAAGGCATAAAGATCGAGTTGCAGGGAAACCTCTGAAGCCAAAATACAGCCCTTACAACAAACTCCAGCGGAGCCCGAGTATTTTAGCGGTAAGTTCACCTCACTCACCTGCGCACCTGTTTTGTGGGGTGGGCTTGCTGGGTTTGGGCAGGCACTACGCATAAAGATGGCCCAGGGACTGAAAGTCAGGAAAGATTCTGAATTAAAATAGCCTCCTAGACAGAAGTTTTAGAACGCGCTGCTCAGTTGCTCCTCTAAGACAGCTGGAAGAAAACTTTCTTAGAAAAGAGAAACTGAACCTCCTTGAGAGCTAATACCTTCCTCCTTACCAAGACTTTTTCAAAACACTGGCTTCTTTAGCATAAGTAAAGATAAATTAAGGCTCAGCAGCAGGACTAGTGATGACTGAGGAATCCTGGGATATGGTTTTTGTTTTGTTTTGTTTTGCTTTGTATTTCAGAAAGTGTGCTTCCATTTCCTGGGATGTGTTGAGTCTGGAAAGAAGGATTGTGTTCATAAAACAAAAATCTACCCATTTAATTTAATATCCTTCTGCTTTCCAGCAATTTTCTGGGGGGAGATACTAGACAAAAAGTGGTATTTGTGTTATGCTCTCTCTTCGTTTTAGCAGGCATGTTGGTAATCAGTCTGTGTTACCTGTTCTCAATCTGTGCAGGTTTCAGTTTCTTTGCAAAAATACTAAGGGCTCCCTCAATAGGTGTCATACACATACCCAGATGGATGGCTTTCACAATCTCCCTGGGACTGGGCCCAGTGCAGTGCTCCATCTGTGGATGGAGCTGGGATTGTCCAGCTGGACATGATCCTGAGATTATCTTCCATCCTCTCCAAAGCCTCCATCTGATGCTGCAAGCAGGTGTTACCTGCATTTATAAATCCCGCTCATAGTGTTCCTGCTGATTGCAAAAGAGAGAAATTAAGGCTTGATTTCCTTCTTCACGGGAGAATTCCACCCTGGAATTCCTTTAACTAGAGATTTTCTAGACTACTTATCATCTTTCTCAGCAACAGAAATTTGATTTAGCTGTGATATTTCAAGGACTATTCCTTAACTGGCCAGTGACAGGGGTAAACTGACTGTTTTCTTGACTCTTCATGAGTCCCCACTGACCTGGCTCCCAGGTACCTAACTTCAAGGCCCCTTAGCCAAGATAAATGAAGAGTCATGCATATTTTCAAAGAAACAAACAGCACCCCCCAAATTCTCAAGGTCTCATTATAATTTAAAGCCAGTCTGAATTTTTAACTGGAGTCCATTGCATAAACCTTCTGGGTATTTGGGGGTTTTACTGCTGACCGGCAAGACAAATAGTATTCATATCTATTCAGGGCTTTTCCTTGTGCCTTAGCACCTGGGAGCAAAGACCACCAAAAAAGAGCTGAAATGGAAACAAACCACAGTAAAGAAAGCTCTACCTTTTCTCCACATCCACGCCAACATCTGTAGTTTTGGGAGTTTGTTATGGGGGCTACTCTTACTGGAGTTAAATGATATCTCAAGGTGGTTTTGGTTTGCACGTCTCTGATGATTAAAGATGATGAGCATGTTTTCATGTGTCTGTAAACCATGTGCCTGTCTTCTTCAGAGAAGCTTCTGTTCATGTCTCTTCCCCACAATGAAATGGGATCACTTATTCTTTTCTTATGAATAAGTTTGAGTTCTCTGTGAATTCTGGTTATTAGACCTTCGTCAGAAATATAACCTGCAAAAATCCTCTCCCATTCTGAGGGCTGTCTACTTGCTTTACTTACTGTGTTCTTGGCAGTGCAGAATCTTTTTAGTTTGATCAGATCCCAGTAATGTATTTTTGATGTTGTTTCAATTGCCTGGGGTGTCCTCTCATAAAGCATTCTCCCAGGCCAATTTTTTCAAGTGTTTCCCCTGCATGTTCTCCAAGAATTTTTATAGTTTCATGTCTTAAGTTTAAGCCCTTTAATCAGTGAGAGTCAGTTTTTGTTAGAGGAGATAGGTGGGGGTCCAGTTTCAGTCTTCCACAAGTTACCAACCAATTCACCCAGCACCTTTGTTAAATAGGGAATCTTCCCCCCAATTTATATTTTTGATAGGTTTATCAAAGATCAAATGATGATAAGTGTCTGGGTTCATCTCTTGGTTTTCAATTCTGTTCCACACATCTACCTCTCTATTTTTGTGCAGTACCATGCTGTTTTGATCACTATAGATTTATAGTATAGTCTGAAGTCTGAAAGCATGATACCTCTTGATTTGTTTTTATTTCTGAGTAATGTCTTGGCTATTTGCAGTTTTTTCTGTTTCCATATAAAATGAAGTACTAATTTTTCCAGATCTTTAAAGTATGACAGAGGTACTTAAATAGGGATTGCATTGAATCTGTAGATTGCTTTGAGAAGTATAGACATTTTGAAAATATTGATTCTTCCCAGCCATGAGCATGGTATATTTTTCAATTTATTAACATCTTCAGCTATTTCTTTTTTCAGAGTTTCCTAGTTCTCTTTATAGAGATCTTTCACATCCTTTGTTAGATATACTCCCAGATATTTCATCTTCTTTGGCACTATTGTAAAGGGAATAGAGTCTTTGGTTGTTTTTCACCTTGACTATTATTGGTATATATATAAAGGCTACAGATTTTTGAGTATTGATTTTGCACTGCTGGTAGGAATGCAAGCTAGCACATACCTTTTAGAAAGAAGTTTGAAGAACACTCAGGGATCTAAATGTAGACCTGCCGTTTGATCCTACAATTCCTCTACTAGGTGTATATCCAAAAGACCAAAAATCACTTGGCAACAAAGATATTTGTACCAGATTGTTCACTGCAGTTCAGTTCATAATTGCCAAGTCTTAGAAGACGCCCAAGTGCCCATCAACCAATGAATGGATTAATAAATTATGGTACATGTATACTATGGAATACTATGCAGAATTTTAACAAGATGGAGACTTTACCTCTTTTATGTTTATGGATAGAGCTGGAAAATATTCTTCTTAGTAAAGTATCTCAGTAATGGAAAAAAATGCCCAATGTACTCAGTAGTACTATAAAACCAATTTATAATCACTCACACTTTCATATGAGAAATGAATCACAGCTATAGCCCAGGATGAAGGAGGGAAGGGGAGTGGAATGAGAAGGGAGGTGGGTGGTTTGATAGAGGGAGGGTTAATGGTGGGACCACACCTATCGAGAACATTGCAAGGGTACAAGTCAAATCTATCAAGTACTGAACACAAATGTCTTAATACTGTGATTAAGTAAATGAGGTAAAAGATATGTTAATTAGTAGGATGTAAGCACTCTAATTTGTATAAATAATCAACACATTGAATCCCACAAAGGCATAAATGTATTTATGATCTATGTATATATGACTTAATAAAAAGAAAGCTAAACCAAGAGCTAACTTTGTAAAAATAATCATTTCTTGACTCCTGAGAGTACAGATTTCTAAAATTTAAGACATTTTAATGTAGATGTTCTACTTTTGAAGAGATGTCTGTGGTACTGTTATTCAAAAAAAAAAGTCTCTATCCCATTCCTGGTTTTCTCCCCTTATTAGGCAAAACTTGCATTCCAGAAAGATATGATGAAGCCTTTGGCCCCAGCCTTCCTGTCTTCACCTCTGGCGGCAGCAGCGGCCGTGTCCACTGCCCTGTCACTCCCACCTCGGCCATCTGCCTCACTCTTCCAGGCTCCAGCCATTCCTCCGGCTTTGCTGAGGCCTGGGCATGGGCCCATTCGCGCCACTCCCGCCTCCATCCTCTTTGCCCCATACTGACATCTGCAAGCTCCAAGATGGTTGAGACAAGTACGAAAGTTTGGAAGAAAGCCAAAAGGATTCAGCAACTTCAGCATTTTGTGTTGCAGTGCCCCCACCCATCCACAAAGTGCAGCCCACCCCGCAAAGCCCCAATTCCAAAGAAAAATCACTAGATTCGAGAGTGCTCTTATGGACTGCACCTAGAATTTAGGAATCTGAGCAGCATAGGCTTTCTCTCCCTATTCCCTCCCCCAACCCACCCTGTGCCCTTTATGTATCCGAGATATTTGTTTTCTTGAAAATGTATTGGTCAAAAAGACAAAGAAAGAAAATTTATTCTCTATTTTTCCATGTGTGTGATCTGGCTTAGAAAGAATATGGAATATTTTCCTGACAGACTTGAAAACTAGGATCTTCCTCAGATGTCTGTAAATAACTCTGGAGTCCAACTGGGCATATTCTAGTGTGGGACAAAAATCAGTGAACACAAGTGCTTCCTTGTGGATGCCATCTTACCAACGGATCACAGCATTTTCTTTTTGATGTACTATTGTTGACAGGGATTGTGTACTGTTTTAGACCTAAGTACTGTTGTATCCTGTGTAGTACTAGATCTGTATCTCTCGTCCAAATTAATCATTTTTAGTTTCTGTGTAAATGTTAGGAAGCAAAGTAGCTTTGAATTTTCTCTTTCAGACAACAAAAAATAAAGTAATGTATTTTCTTTATTTCACATTTTATTTGGAGATATTTAAATGAAATAGAAAGCCATATAACATAGCTCTAATTATTACCTGTTTGCTATTTGTGTTTAACTTATTTTGTAGCTTCCTCACCAGTTTGAGTTGCTAAGCAGATGTAAAAGAGCTGAAAAAGAGCTTCCTCAATTGCACATTTTTGCACCTCTTGTGCATTCTGCAAGAAGACAATGAATCCATGTATTTCTACATAATTATCTTCTTCATTTTTAACCTGTTTTCATTTGTAATGATGCTACACAATTTTGTGGCTCCCTAATGCAATAATGTACAGAAGATAAAACATTTGTAATTGAACAACCTGTCTTTCTGTTCACTGAATATGTTGCAGGTCATGCTCCCGCCCCCCCCCCCCTTTCTAAGCTGATATCAACAAGACTGGAATGTTTGTGATATCAGGGGCAAGAGTTAGCATAAAACAACAAAATAGAACTCGTGTAGAGCATCTATATCTGCAATCTGTAAATGGTAAAATGTCTGTGTATTTTTTTAAATGTACCTTTTCAATAAAAGTACAAAAAGTAAAAATCTGTTTGTATTTTCCACGTTATTTTCTTCTGAGAATCATGTCCAATTGGAAATCCTCTGGAAGATTTTTAGTGGGTACAAAGATTGCTTGTTATGTAATTAGCATTTTTAGCTCTTATTGGCAGCATATTTATTTGTCATGTTTATTCATTACTGTTCCCAGTATCTCCCTGAGCTGAAACTACACTGCAGTTTTCTCTCTGAATGACTAAGAAGTTGGGTTAAGGTTGTAATTTTACCCAAAATTACTGAAGCAACCTGTGAAAATTTTGTAACTGTCCAATTTTTTTAAACTCATTCCTCAGAATCCCTGGCTCATCTTTATTGATGTCCACAGCATTGTGGTCTCTTTTTAGAGAATTTTTTCCCCACTCCTCCCCCTGCACCTGCTCTAATCAGCTCATCCTTCTTTTCTTTCACCTCATCCTATTTCTCTGTAAGTGTAAACATCAATACATCACTGTTTAGTCTAGTGATTTATTGCTGCTGAATAACCTACTCTGAAACTTAGTGGGTTAAAAATGTAGCCATGTTATTACTGGTTACATCAGAATTTCATGATCAGGAATCCCAACAGGCTATGTCTGGGCTGCCCTTCCATTGCTCATGGTATCAGTGGCTTCCCATGGTAGTAATCAGCTGGCAGTTGAGCTGGACTGGAGGGCCCAAGACAGCTTCACTTATGTGTCTGCAGGAGCAGAAATGGCCAGAAGGTCAGGTTGTATTGGAACAGACTGCCAGAGTTTACCTGTGTCATTGTCCTCTTGGGTAGTTACATAGTCACAGGGAAAATTAAAAGACCTGGATGAAAGTCAAAAGGCTTCTTAGAGATAGTCTTGAAACTCCCAGCCTGTGACTTATGCTACATTCCACTGATCAAGCAAGTCAGTCCAGATTCAAGGGAAGAATATTAGACTCCACTTCTCAATGTGAAGAAAAGCAAAGAATTTGCCACCATCTTTAATCTACCATACTGTTAGAGGATCTTAAAGGAAATGGTAACGAAACTATTACAGATCCTGTTACTCCCCACCTTATGCCCAAACCTTGTTAATATTTTAGAATGAGAAGAACTGGTTAGGGGTTAAATTCTTATTTCTAAAAAAATCAAGGGCCATAGCACTGGGTGCCATTTCTCGGTGGTTAGAACGCAGCCCCACACACCAGGAGCAGCAGGTTCAAACCTCCCCTCAACCTAATAAAAAAATAAAATAATGAAAAGAAGAAAAATCAAGGCCAGTGGATGGCAGTGTGGCTGTGATGCGTAATAACAGACTTCTAACAAAAGGTTTATCAAACTGTTTGAAAATTGTTGGCCTTAATATTTTAAGTTCATAATCAGGTTACTTTTAGAGTCTAATAGGATTCCAGCCTGACATTCAGAATTTGACCTCTGAATGTCAAATATGACTTATTTGACCTCTAACCAATACTAGTTACACTTAACCTTGGTTGGACTTTCAGATGTGATTTACAGATATTGTGCTCTGAAGGATATTTGGAATACTTTTTATGTTTATGAACTTTGATGGCAGTTATATTTGGTTTATCTTAAATTATCTTATATCGCCTTAAAGTTTACTGCAATCCTGAAAAAAAATTTAATGTCAATATTTAAATAGACTCAGAAATTTACTGATTAGAGTTATGGAATTAAGATCTTACAAATTACCTCAGGGAAGAAGTACAAAAGAATATGAATTAACTAAAATGCATGCCTCCAAAAGAAGCCATGAGTAGCTCCAAGCAATGATTTACAAAACACTATTGAACAGATATATCTTATCATCCACCCCTATTCTACGGTGCTGAATGAGTCAACCCTGAAAGGATATACATTTTTTGAACTAATATCCCTTCCTATGCTATTTTTATTGGGAGAAGACGGCTGCTTTACTCCACTTAATGTGAAAATTAGAAACAAAAAAACATGTTGCTTTCTCTGACATAGTCTGGCTCAGGTCTCTGTAGAATCTAAAAACCAGTCTCAGGTAGGGTTGCCAGATAAAATATAAAATATTCAGTTAAATTTGAATTTCGGGTATTGTTTAAGATAATATGACATATATTATAAATTAAATTAATTAAATACGTTTTAGTATGATATTATATGGAACATAAGTCTGCACCGTAACTAAGTATGCAATATTTGAGACTAATTTATGCTACCAGATTATTTGTTATCTGATATTCAAGTTTAATGGACATTCTGTACATTTATTTACTAAATTTGGCAACCCTTTCCTCAAGAGCATTCCTCTTCATCTCAAGTAACATGTTGCCTTAGAAGAAAAAAGACCTCTTGGGTATTAAAAGCTAAATAAACAGGGTTTTAAAGGCACGTTACTAAATAACACTCACAAATGGGCAGAGGAAGGAACTTGCATTAAGTAAAAGTCAATGATATATTGACATTGGATAGGACCAGCACAGGGGATATGTAGCTACCAATACCTCTTACTTAAAGGTACACTGATAGCTGTTCAGCAAATTAAACAATTGTAAAAGGAAGCAACAAAATTTTCATCTGTATCAGGCACCAAACACTCTACTCCTGATTTTCTCCTTCTCTACCCTAAGACTTTTCAGAGCAGAAATGGATATGGTCATGTAAAATTTTTCTTTCAGAAAGTACTTTAAGGAAAGCTATACTTTTTAGCTATACTTTTTTTTTTTTTTTTTTTTGGAGACAGAGTCTCACTTTGTCACTCCCGGTAGAGTGCAGTGATGTCACAGGTCAGCCTCCCAAGTATCTGGGACTACAGGTGCCCACCCACAATACCCAACTAGTTTCAGAGATGGGGTCTCACTCTTGCTCAAGCTGGTTTCAAACTCCTGAGCTCAGGCAATCCACCCTCCTTGGCCTCCCAGAGTGCTAGGATCATAGGCTAGAATCCCAGAGCCACTTGTGCCCAGAAAGCTATACTTTGGATTACTGTCATTGAGAAAGAAAACCGAGAAAATTCCCATAAATAAACAAATGAAGGAGAAAGAGCTAATGGAAATGTGAGGTGAAAATCCTGTTGCGCAAAAGCTCCCAAAGGGTCTTTTGGGAAATGTGTGCCCACTGCTTTGGGCATCATCAGAGAGAGGGGGTCATAGGGGAGAGGAGTGATGGCCAGGAGCTGTCTGGCAGGTAAAGATTAAGTCAGCATCAAGACATACACTCTAGATGAGCCCACACATCTTCTGGTAAATTTTATTTCATCTCTGTAGTTTGGCTGTGGGGATTCTGGCCTCTCATTACAGTGTTTCTTCCATCATATCCTTGCTTTGGTAATATGATTCCTAAATACCAGAGGTGACATGGTCTCTTTGGGAAAATACTGGTTTCTGGTACCATGGAGGGTTGAAGAGACCCTGTATAGTGCAAGAGCAAATTCCACAGGGGATGCTCCTCTTTGCCTCCTTCCTCCCTCCAGTTAATTAGCTCCATGGGGAAATTTATCAGATACATGCTGGTGCAGGTTCTCTGTAGTAATGGAGTATGACCAAGAAATCGCCCTGAGATCTTTGGCTAGAATTTAAAAGTCAGAGTGGCTAATGTATTCTTTTCCTACCTAAATGCCCAAAACACATGACATTTCTGATCATCAGAATTCTTTCCATTGATGTAATGAAAATATCTTCATGTCATATTCTTTTTTTTTTTTTTTTTTTTTTTTCAGTTTTTGGCCCAGGCTGGGTTTAAACCCACCACCTCTGGCATATGGGGCTGGTGCCCTACTCCTTTGAGCCACAGAAGTATTCTTCATTTTAAAAAATTAAGACCTTCTTAATCAACAAAAAAAGAGCACACAATCCCATCTATCACTGGGCAAGAGACATGAACAGAACCTTTCCTGAGGATGACAGACAGTTACAAACATGAAAAAATGCTCATCATCCCTAGTCATCAGAGAAATGCAATTCAAAACTACCCTGAGATATCACCTAGCCTCAGTGAGAATAGTGCACATCACAAAGTTCCAAAGCTACCGATGTGGTATGGATGTGGAAAGAGTGGAACACTTTTACACTATTGATGGAACTGCAAACTAATACAGCCACTTTGGAAAGAAGTAAGGAGAATTCTCAACTCAAGTTAGATGTCCCATTTGACCCTGCAATTCCACTACTAGTCATCTACCCAGAAGAAAAAAAAATTTATCATAAAGACATTTGCCCTACATTTTTTACTGCAGCTCAATTTACAATCACCAAGATGTGGAAACAACCTAAATGCCCATCATTTAGGCATCATCATCAAACTGTGGTATATGTATGCCATGGAATGCTATTCAGCCATAAAAAAAGATAGTGACTTTACATTTTTTGTATTAACCTGGATGTAATTGAAAAACATTCTTCTCAGTAAAATGTTACAAGAATGGAAAAGCAAATAGGCAATGTACCCAATACTAATATGAAGCCAACAGATGAGCTAATTCTTGCCCACATAGGAAAAAACTCATTTCAATTCAAGTTGGGAAGAGGGGGGATGAGGAAGGGGGAAAGGGGTGGTTTGGGGTGCTCCCATTGAATGGGCACAATGTAGGGGTGTATGGCACAACTTTGGGGTGCAGGACACAACTACAGAGGAACTCCACCTGACAAATTCAAATATTGTGACCTAGTTGCTCATACCCTCACATTAACCTGAAATAAATAAAGAAAGAAAATAGACAATTGAACAAGCTTGCCATTAAACATATACTTTTTATTTTATAGTGAAAAAGTAAAATTAAGATGAAAAAAGGAAAATTAAGATAAAGGAGAATTAAATAAGAATAACATAATTTTCAGTCAAATCCCAGTCATATTATGTACATGTTAATTCTGTGATTTTATGTCAGAAAAAGATTGTATGTCATTTTCCCAAAGTCTTAGTTTTTCACACATATGAAATACATATTTTATGAAAATACACATTCAACTCATAAGGTGGATCTGAGAAGCAGATACAATTAAACACATGAAAATGTTTCTGTACATCAGCACATGCTATACAAAG